CCCCCCCATGCAGACCCTCTGATATGAAGTAGCAGGCTCATCTGAAACAGTGTCTAGCCTGTCCTAGCCTCTTACTCCACCTAACATTAAACACCACCTGTGAAGTGTACCCTGAAGCAATAGCAGCAGGAGTGTTACACAACATCATATGAGCTCTATAAACCCTCCTTGCCTAACTAAACATCCCAGGCTAGCAAACTTTGAGAGAAAACTGAACATTGATCGGTGGTCATTGGGTGAACATGATGAAACACTGGACCAACCGTACAACCTCTAGAGTGCACCAGAATGCCATGCTGAAGCAACATACTGCTGCTACTAGTATGTTCTAGCAGTATTAGTAGTGCCTGTGTAGACCACATTTGGCGATCATAAATCATAACACTGAACCTGTAAGACTGGATCTGTCCCAGTTTTTTTGGCCTGAGAGCGCTGTGTACTACAAAGTCCCGAGGGCAAGGTCTGCCTAGCCTCCACCAGGCTTCGGAAAGCGGCTGGGAAGAGTAGAAATCGGCTAAAATATAGAGATAACATGCCGGGGAAGTTGGTCTGCTGGAGATGACATTTTGCCGCTCCAGTGCGGGAAAATGTAACGTTACTCTCTAGCGAACCAACTCCCCCGGCATGTCATCTCTATATTCTAGCCGATTTCTACTCTTCCCAGCCGCTTTCCGAAGCCTGGTGGAGGCTAAGGTCTGTCCCTAACAGCATGGGTACGTCACGCATGCCGCATATGGTCTCATCGCAGGTTCCCAACTAGTCGCACAGACTTCCTACCTCTAGCTACGTTGATCGTAAATCCTTGTTGTAACGTTACTAGGTCGTGAGTTACGTTACTAACCTGTGAAGCCACGGATGAGACCTGCGCCACTGGCTGTAGTTGAGAGAAAAAGTCGGACGTGTTGTAACTTTTAGTGTGTACGTGTGTGTCTGCTCTGTTCTCCTCTCCAACCCGGATATGGCCCCGTGACGCGTGGGTGTGACGGAGGCGTGACACGACCTACCGGAAATGATTGTTTGGTAGGGACAAACCGTTAATTTACGTTATCAGATTTTCCCCAGTGGTTTGTGTTATCCACACGCCGTCTTCGTGAAGTTCATGAAGTTCTAATGCATTTTTACGTGATATCCAAACTGAGAAACTTAGAGAGGTCTACTCTGTTCTATAATGTAAAAACTGATGCAGACCCTTTTGTATATTTACTGATTTGTCCCCGCGCCCTTCCCGGGTCATCGCGAGATGTTGTCTAAATCTCGCGAGAACTGCACGGGAAGCGGAAGTGAGGTAAAAGAAGCAGTGAAGAAGCGAAGAGAACTGAACTGAAGAACTGCGTGCTCAACAAATGCCGCGACATTTCTAACCCTAGCCTGTCCGTTTCTAAAGCCGTAGAACCTCTGTCACCATGCTAGATCTGTTCACCATCTTCAGTAAGGGCGGGATCGTCCTCTGGTACTTCCAGGGGGTGAACCAAGTCCTGACGGAGCCGGTCAACGCGCTCATCAAGACCGTCATACTGCAGGTAACGCTTTGCAACATCTGCTTGGTGCTATCTTTATTATACACCGGGCAAAACAACCCAGAAAGTAACTTTTCAAAGTTATAGATTGAAGTTTTCTCATACATTTATTATGTATCATGTGAAATACAGGAGGGAACCAAATTACCTACGTATGATCACAGTAATTTTATAGAAGCTTAGAGTTAAGTGTACGTGTAACGTTACCATATGGAAGACCACCTGTAAAATAGTTACCATCATCATATCTTGTCTTTCACTTGTTTCTGTTCATTGTAAGCCGTTGGTCAACTAATCATTCAAAATGCATGATTAACCACTGCTATGTAGTGGTACAGAATAGATTATAATAAGTGGTTTTTGGTTGTATGATAATATCATATCCTGTTTGGGATCCTGGATCTTAAAACAAGTCAACAAAAATTAAATGACATAATTAGTTAAGTGTCAATTTTTACACAAAGTTGCATGTTTGTGTCCTTTTTTCGGCCATAATTAAGCATATGATTAGTATGTGGATAGCATAAGCCTGGATATGTATGTAAGGAGAACAATTACAATAATTCTTCTTTATCTTCTGTAATCAATTATATAATATGGAGCACTTCAGACTGCACTGTAACCATACAACTGCAGTACATCATGTCCTTGCAGTATTTTTGTCAGCTTGAAGGTTGGTCTTGGTCTTGGGGGTTAAGGTAGCCAACATCAACTTGCTGATGATTCTGCTACACTGTAGTATTTAGGCTGTAGAATTTTTGGACCATCGCACACCGGGGCATGCCCCTACTCTTTTTCGAAAGGTGTGGTGGGATCTTTAACGT